AATAAAGGAGTGTATTATAAATTACAGGTAGAGCTGCTGCGTGATCCCTGAGGAAGGGTGAGCACCTGGGAATAAAGGGGGAAACAACCTGGGAATAAAGGGGGGAAACATGCCATGGCTTGTGATTAAAAAAAAAAGTACTTTTTATCTCTGTAAGAAAACAAAATAAGGCCTGCTGTGACTGCAAATCCATGTTATTTCATTTTTCCTTCTTGAAACATTAGAGGATAGGTGGATATGGGTGCACACATGAGCCCTTCTTCTATATGTGAATGAATTTTATTTATCATATGTAATTTTTTTGTCTGAAAGCCCCTTGCAGATGTCTCCAGGTATTTATCTCTGGTGGCAGGAATTCCTGCCTTATTTAGTTTAGAAACACAGTAATGGTATTTCCACAGCCCTGTCTCTGTGAGGCATGTGAACTGCACTAGACACATACCAAGGCCACTTGTCCTGCTGCTCACAAAACTTTATGCTTTTTTTTCAGGAGAGAACATGGTTTCCATGATGACAACTTTGTGGCAAGTAATTATTCCCATGATTGTCCTGTCCCACTTCTCAGCATCTCTGCCATCCCAGGAGAGGTAAGCATTTCCTGGGACTCTTGCTTCCTTTTTCCCCCATGGTTTTTGTTCAGAGAGCCTGCTAGCTGAAAACCCAGCCTTTTAGCTGCCTTCCTGATCTTGCATCTGCTTGCTTGCAGATCTTCTTCTTCCCTAAAGAGATTTAGTTAAATGAGTGCAAATACTATAAATGTTTTCTCTTGCTTAAGAATGGGAACATTAATTTTTATTTAATTCGGAAGAAAGTTTGTGACCTCAAAGCCAAACACAGTTACAAGGACACTTTTGAGTGTGTTTTTGTCCTGTGCACTTAATGCAGAATGATAAAGGTGAGAATTTCTGTTTCCAATAGCCTGGTCCCATGAAATCATAACCAGAAATAGTCAACTCTGTAAGTTCACCAAGGGAGTTGCCTGCAAGGGCTGTTCTTTGCTGCTCTTTTCTAAGTGCTCTTCAGCTTTGTGTCTCTGGATATTTGTTTATTACTTTTCCAGCCTCTTGCTCTCCTCTTTTGTGCTGAATCATCAATAACCCGACATTCCCACATTCTTGTGGCAAGGTGATTATATCAGTAAAAGCAAGGGCAGGTCGTTTTCCTGTGTGATGTTTAATAAACGCATTTTTTAAACTCCCTTTTTTTCCCTTTTTTTGTGAAACTTTGCCAAAGTGGCACAAATTCTTGCCCATGCGTGTTTGGGACTCTCTTGCCTTGAGGCAGCAGTGTTTAATGCCTGTTCTTGTGTGCTTTTAAACCATTCCTTTTGCCCCCTCCCCACCCCCTTCCCTGTTCCAACGTGCAGGATGAAGCGCCACGCAGACGGGCTCTTCCACAGTGAGCTCAGCAAGATGAACGGCAACGCCTACGTGCAGCAGCTGGTCAAGCACCTGGTGGGCCTCAAGGACAGGTGAGCACCTGCCACACCCACTCCTGGGGCAGGGAAGTCTCCGGCAGGATGTGGATCACTGCTCGGAGGGGCTGCCCACGGAGCTGAGCTGTCCAGCTGCAGAGCTGTCCAGCTGGCTGCCCGAGATGAGGAGAGGAAGGGGAGAGCACATAGGGTGGGAGGAGAGGCATTGCTGTGCCTCCCTCGTGGGGAGTCCTGCGTGGCTGGGAGGTGCCACTGTCCCACGTTGTCCCTACGCAGGTCCCTAAGGCACTCGGATGGGCTGTTCACCAGTGAGTACAGCAAGATGAGAGGCAACGCCCAGGTTCAGAAATTCATCCAAAACCTCATGGGCCGCAAGCGCAGGTGAGAGGAAACCTCTGGTGTCCCGGTCCCCACCCGGGGCTCTCACTGCCACACTGGGCCAGCAGTCCCCACTGAGGCCATGTGTGTGAGCACAGCAGCAGACAAGACGCAAGCTGCAAGTGCTGTTCTGCAGTGGTGGTTGTTTGGTTACATAATTGGTGGTTTGGGATTTTAAATTATTATTAATTTTCTTTATCTAAACCAGCTCTCCTGGCCCAGTCAACACAGACATGCAGGCGAGAGAGGGAATAAACAAACCTGAGAAACTTTGCTTTCTCTGGTTGTACCAGAGCTTTCTGAACACCAGGTAAGTGGGAGAGATCGGTCACCTCTGTGACTCTGAGCCCTACAATACTGAAGCCAAAAGAAGGCTTTTCTGAACCACCATTGAAAAGTCAGTTGTTAAAAATAGTAAAACCCAGGGTAGGAAAATAATATCTTTTCTTAATAATTTCCTAAGAGTTGTCACTCTGAATTGAAGCAATTATTCATCGCATTAGGAAATGTGATCTAATGGTTAAAATTTAAAGAAAGCCTTTGCTACCTTGTCTGGATTCTGCTGCTGATTGAAACACACACCTCAGGATGAGTTGTCCCAGCACCTGGACATTGTCTTTTCCTAATGCCCAACAACTTTCCCTGAGATAGCTCACTCTTAAATCACTGTAATTAGGAGGAATAAACTGGCCCTTGGTACTTCTTGTGTCCACAATGGGGAGAAACACCACTGTGCGTTTGTAGAGTGCCTGGCAGCAGGCAGCCATGATCCCTCTGTGAGGATCATGACCTACTCTTTGGAATCATCCTGGAATGTCACAGGGTGGCCTTGTCACACTTCTTGCAGTTCATGCATCCAGAAATAATAGACTGTCTCTGATTTTTCCCTTCCCACAGCCACTCGGACAGAGATGCCAGGGAGGCTGCTGCCATTACCAGCCAGTACCTTTGCCCCTTCTCTAAGCAGCTGGTTGCAGACATGAAAGAAGATACAGATGGTTCCGAATGAAGGTGAAGGGAAAGAAACAGCCAAGGAGACAGCTTTGCACGTGTATGGCCTTGAAGATAAACAGGGAAGCTCTTGCTTAGGAAAAATTCTTGAGATAGGTGAATAAATAACAATAATCCTGGAAAGCAGTCAAAAACCAATGAAACCTCTGAGATTATCCATAGTGAAATGTATGTGAGCGTGTACTGCTGTCAGTAGATGGAGCCTGAGTGAAGCACATCCTTTCCACTCTGTGTTGGCATCTGGCTGCCTGCTGCTGATCCCAATAAAAATGATTAGCTGTGCCTGTGCCTTGGCTGCTCTTTGGGAAACTGGAATAAGGATGGTTCTGTTACAAGGCCTTGGATTATGAGGAATGCAGGGGAGGAGCGTTTTGCCAGGATTCCCCTACATGAGGCATGGTGGGACACATGGCTGGGACTGGGGAGTGCCTACAGTGCAGCTATGCACAGAGGTCAGAATCAGGGCTCCATGTAGCAGGAACAAAACCAGATGTTAGGTCTTATGGCAAAGAAATGTTCTGAGAGCTGCACAACAGATACTCACTGTAAAAGTTGTTTCCTCTCCATTCTGCCCCTGGAGTTGGTGGCCCAGTTTGGTCACAGCCACTAAAGACAAAGCTCCATGAGAAATCATTTGTTCACACCACTTAATGAGGTTTACGTACTGTCCCTGTGCCACACAGGCAGATTGCCCATGCTTTGATGGAACAGCCACACCAGCTTTCCTGTAAAACCAATGGATTTTGGAGAGCAGCTAAAAATAAGACTCTTCAGCTGCAATCCTGTGCTGTGCAGCCCTAACAGCCCATCCTGCTCCAGCAGTTTTCACCATCTGTGCTGGACCTGACACCCGCAAAAGGAGCTGTTCCCACTCAAATGCACACCTAAGCACCATTCCCTTACTGAGGAGATTAACAAACCTTGGCAGTTGTTCATTTTGGTCCATAGGAAGTCTCTGCTAGGAAAGATTCCTTTTGGAATAGTTTTGGAATGAGTGTTGACAGCCTGGATTTCAGTAAGCTGTTAATAACTATCTGGCTGAGGTGCAGCATCTGAGAACTGCCTGAAGTCAGAAAGAATTTTAAAAGATCAGTGAGAGCAGTGAGGTCCCCTGAAAACTTCAGGAAGCTGCTGAGATTCAAATAGTTGAAGATTTCCTGGTGTGGGATCTCCTGGAGAGAGGTTCTGGGAAGCATCTCTGCAAGGAGAAGCCACCAGTAAAAGGAGATACATTTTCCCTACAAAGTTGCTGGACATTCCCTGGACTGCAGGTGAGCCTTGTCACTGCTGGGATCCACTTGCTCACCTTGTGGGATACAGACCCCATCTCTGGCACATCAGAAACCAAATTTTCCCCCTTTTCTGTGAGAGAGACTGGAGTAAACAGGCAGCTTCCCAAGTACCAGCCCTTGTCCTTCATGCTTAGCTGGGCAAGGGCTTGGCTCTGAGTTCTGAACTGCTTCAACTATATTCTTGTTGCCACAGAGAGTCTGGGATATGGGAAGATCCAGGGAAAAAAGAAGCAGAAGGATTTATATGTCACCTTGTTTCATGACTGGAAAATCCTTTAATAAGTCATCCAATGGGGCAAAGGGGCAAAGGTTGAATCACAGCAATCCACAGCCAGCTGGTGTTTCTTGATGCCATAAAGTGGTGAATGCAAACAAGGGCACAGGGCAGAACAGGGAGATCAGCTTAGTTGGAAAAAGGGATTTTTCAGCAACTGGCAGCTCACCATGGCTATTCCTCACTGGCTTCTCATGTCTGCCCTCTTCCTGCTGGCCCTCATGGCACAGATTTTGGCACAGGAGCCAGGTAAGCTCTTTCACGAGGTCCATGTCTTTGAGGAATGTCTGCCATGGGAGGGGGTGGCCCTGTTACCGGTGGGAGGTTGCTACACTCCAACACCCCTCTGCCCCACAGTTTGTGACCACAGCTCTCACCCTGCCCCTTCATAATGTGAATCCTTGGGCAAGTTTTGCATCTTATTTGTGTGTTTTTCCAGGATGCTCTGTCAGTAACAACAACCCAAGTGTTCCTGAAAATAAGTGTCCTTATGTGGTGGCTACCACCCAAGTGCAGCCAGGTTTCACCCTAACAATTGATCCCAAATACCCCGATGGCCAATTCTTCACCATTGAGGGCTCCGAGCTGCGGCTGACAAAATGTGTGGACTATGAGGTAAGCCTTTAGCTGGCAGGCTGTAAGGATGAGATGGATAATGCTGGGATGCACTGAGTTTCAATCTGGAGTCTTAGGCTTCCAGGGATTCTTAACCTGTTTCTAGAGGAAATAAGTTATTTCAGTTGTGTGAGTTTGGGAGGCTACAAAAAAAGATGGAGAGAGACCATTTAAAAGGGCCTAGAATGACAGGATAAGGGGGACTGACTTCAAACTGCCAGAGGGCAGGGTTAGATGGGATACTGAAAAGAAATTCTTCCCTGTGAGCGTGCTGACGACCTGGGACAGGTTTTCCAGAGCAACTGTGGCTATTCCATCCCTGCTATTGTCCAAGGCCAGGCTGGATAGGGCTTGGAACAGCCTGGGATAGTGAAAGGTGTCCCTGCCCATGGCAGGGGGTTGGAATGAGACGAGTTTTAAGGCCCTTTCCAGCCCAAATCATTCTGGGATCTGTCATCTTGTGTGACGCAAAAAGGCAGTATAAAAGGTCATTGTATTCACTTAGGTTGCTGCTACATTATTTTAGTTTCCCAGAGTGCTCTGTATACAGCCACAGGCATCCTTAAGTTCCTTTTCAATATAAAAACCCACTTTTACTTGAGCAAAGAGCAACAACCAGAGTTAGCACCCCACAGGTACCACTGTACTTGCTGCATAGAATGTTTCTGATTTATTCAATTTTAAAAGAAATCTGTTTGAATTCACCTGAGGTGAGAGAGAATGGCAGATTAGCTCTGCCAACATCTTAAGGAATTGCAGGGAGAGCACCTGAAAGATGGAGCTGCTTTGATGTCACCATATACAAGATCACAGCATTAAGGAAAGAAAGTAAAAGTTAGATACACCTGAAAATATGATAAAGCCCAGCAGCATTTCTGGTTCAGCAAAGCACAAATTTGGTTCATTTGCTTTAGCCAGAGTTTGTACTCTTTGGTTATTTCTTCAGTGAGGGTTTGTTTTTTATGCAGGAAGACACTGTGCTGCTGCTGTACCTGATCTGCAAGGACACTGCTGGCCAGGTGAGTGCTCTCCCATGGCTGAGTCCTGAGACAAGGCACTGCAGGCAGCACCTGCTTCCCTCTCCTCTTCCTAATCCTCACACTGGGATGGGCAGATGTCCTTCTCTTTGTGGACAGACACACCGCTCTTACAGCCACAGGGAGTGCCAAGGCTCTGCCAGTGGGGAGGAGGGGGCAGCAAGCCCACAATCCTGCCCCAGGATATGGGCTGGCTGCAAACCCCAGCACCATCCAGCCCCCATCCTCACACCATCCCCTCTGGTCACTCTGCAAAGCAGGATCAGCCCCAGTCTGTTCTTGTCTTTGATTCTTTGATTTGTCCATTCTGCAGAGCGAGTCCTTGGAAATTCTAGTCACCATTCTGAATGAGAACGATAACTGCCCTGTGTTTCCACAGCCAAGCATCACCAGGGATGTCCCAGAGGTAAGGGGTTTTGGGAAGGGAAGAGGGCACTGCTCACTGAGCTCTGTGGGACTGAGGAAGGGTCAGCAGGGAGAGAATTTTAATCCATTTCACACAGACTACAACACTACAACACTGTGTTTTTTCAGGCTACAGAAGTGGACACAGCCATTGTAGCCCGTGAAGAAGTAACTGCTACTGATGCTGACCTGGACATCATCTACTATGAACTCAATACCACAGTGCAGGTGAGCAACTCTGGGGACAAACAGTAGCTCTGGAGAAGCTGGATTCAGAAGAGCCCCAGCTTTGAGGAGAAGCTGCACTTAACTGACTCAACTTTTACAAAACCCAAACATTGATTTGGTTAGCAGAACAGAGCCATCGATGCTGCAGGTATTGAATTCTCTTATGGCTTACACTTTTAATGCACTGTACAGATTAAAGTTTCATCTAGAAGGTTCAGAGCCGTAACGATTCAGGGAAGTCTTGTTGGCGTGATCTGAAAACATATCAGAAGACTTTGTACCTCAGGGAGCTCAGAATTGCACTGAGTCTGATGGGGAAGGCAGTCCTTGCCCTAGCTGCCAACAGCAGCACAGGAAATGGATTGTGCACACAGCTAAACCAATGCCAGTCTAGAGTGCAAGGGCTGGCTGTAAACTAAAATCAAAATGAAATTCAAGAGAAAAACCAAATGTATGTTTGCATTTTTGAAAAGTGTTACGGAGAGAGCAGACAGTGCCTCTGTTACTTCTATATCCCTAGGGAATTTAAGTTTCTGTGAACAGAAACCACCAGTTTCTCAGCTCTGGGATCAGACTTTGCACTCATATTGGTGTAAATCCAGAGTGATAGAAATTCAAAGGCATAAGATTAAAGGAGAACCAAAGCAAATGCAGAAGGTTATAGAGTAAAATGCAATGCATGATACTTCAACTCAGCTTTACAGTTTCTTTCAAAGTCCAGCTGTGTTAGGCTAAGGCAGGTGATCCTGCCAGCTCTCAAAGGCTGAGCCATCTTTGGCCTTTTTTGTGCATGGAAGTGAAAATTGTTGGCTATCAGGGACCCAAAATCAAGGATTGTTGGCAACTTGCTAAATATAGGAAATAAATAATGTAATATATTTCATCCAGAAGCTGCTGAGCAGGTGGGCAGTCAAAGCAGGAGGTCTGTGAGAGGAAGTTCACAAGAACAAACCTTTCTGACAAGTCAGGCAACTCCAGTGTGCAGTACCAAAAATTAAGTAGATCAGACATTCCGACAGTGCCCCTCATCCAAGGTCCTCAGGATTAAAGCTCCAGCTGGGATGACAAAGAGAGCAATGAGTAGGATTTGGAATGTGTCTGTTATTGAGTCTGCTATAGGATTTTTCCTTTCCCCTTGCCAGAACACAGACGGTTATTTTGCCATAAGAGGAGTTAACAACCCGGAAATTTATTTACAAAAAGCATTGGACTATGACAAATTTCATTCTACAACATTGCTCTTGTATGCGAGGGTAAGTGGTTTGGGAAAAACAGAATGCCTCGTTTGCATGGTCCCTCTTACCTGAAGGATGAGTCTGGATGGGAAATCCCTCAGATAACAGGAGGGAGGGTGGGGCTGGGGGGCTGGGGGGTTGCATTCAGAGCAGCCTTTCCCTCTCCATAATTCGAGTGACAGACCTGCAGTCAGCCCACTTCTGTCAGCAGAAGATAACCTACTGCTTTAGGTACTCTCACATAAATTTCCAGTTAAACAGAATGGAGTAACAATGGCTAAAGGGCCCCAGTCCACTGCTTTTGTGCAGATGGGCCCTTGTTTTGGCAGTGAAACTTGTCTCTCACGAGTGTGCTTTGCCTTGGGGACAGGACAGGCCTGTGAACAGCTCCGAGCACACCAACACAGCCACTGCAACAATAACCATTACCATCAAGCAGAGTGACACCCGGGCACCCTGGTTCCTGCCCTGCACCCAGCTCCACAATGACACCAGCGTCTGCATCAGCAGCCCCTACTCCGGCAGGGTCAACATCTCCGAGATATCGGTGAGCAGGAGGGCTCAGACAGTGCCCCTGGTGCTGTTCCCCGTGGGAAGCACAGAATCATTTCCATGGGCTTGTGCTGGTCTCCAGTATAATGCAGATGATTCAGCAGAATAGGGAGTCTTCATCATCTTCAGTCCCCACCCCAAGCAGCACTGCTTGTCTCTGCTCCTACAGCACATCAGGGGAGAGGCAAGAGCTGGAACACCAGCTCAAGGTTCTCTCACCTCTGCCCTGTCGCCTCCCAGCAATAAATCCCATTCTGTCTAGGCAGAGTCGTGGGATGTGCTGCAGGCTGGGAGAGCTCCAGCTGCTGAGCTGGCCCTGCCTCGTGGTGTGTGATTGATTGTTTGTTTCGCTGTTGCAGAGGGACCCGCTCCTCCTGGAGCCAGGACCCATCTATGCTGTTGACCCTGACTACACCATCAGCGACAGGATCGTGTACAGCATTGTTGGGGGTGAGTAGACCTTGTCACCTTCCACAAGGGACATTGCTCATGTCTCCTGTGGTACCTGCCAAGAGGGAGGTCCTGGGATTTGCCCCTCTGTTTCTGCCACAGAAATATAACTAGAGCCACAGTACACTGTTGTAGAAGAAACAGACTGTACAGAGAGGAAGAAAAAAAATAATTACAGTCCCACAAACCGATCTCAATGAAATCTATTTCAAAAAGATTTTGGTTTTTTGTGAGATGAGACATGTTTTGTGTTTAAGCTTTTAGATGTGGTTTTATCAATCTGGTCATGCTACTTCCATGCAGTGTTTGAGCTGTACCTAAAGTTCTCACATTATCAGCCTAATTTCTATTAATTGCCCAGAATTATGTTTTTATTCCCCAGCACATTGCCACTAGCTCATCTGCCCTGTTTTAGTCTTGCTTCCAAAAGAATCAAGGCAAAGGTCATATTGGTCAAGTGAAGTGTTCCTCTCCCTTCATGGCAGCACAGTTGTGAATGTCCTCCTGATGCCAAATGTATTAAAGAACATTAAATTCCACTGGCATTTGGATGGAGTGTGGCCTCCCTCCCCACAGTCAGTGATTCAGATCCTTGTCAAGAGAGAGCCCAAAAAAAATGTCTCAGAGTGAGGAAGAGAACTAAAAATTCTGCTTAACTCACATGTATCCAACATAGGTACTTCTATGATTCCCATACAGATGTAGGAATCTGATTTCTACCTGTACATAAATACAAGGTTTGTGTCTAGAATCCCTTTGTAATCAGTAGAGAGAAATAAGCATTCTCAGAGCAGTCTTGGAACTAAATGGAGATGTTCAATCCTCAAATTGCACCAGAGGCTCTGGGCATTTATCATGCTTCAGACTGGCAATCTGTGGGCCTAGGCACTGGAAATGCAAAGCTTTGTTGTTCTACCTCATTTAACTGGGTTCACACATATCTAATGCATCCCTCTGCATCCCTGCCCAGCACTCCCAGTCCTGGAGCAACCAGGCAGGCAAGGAAAACAGCATTTTTGAGGGTATTTTCACTAGGACATGGAAGAATGAGTCTGTGAGCTCCAGGTCGCTTTATGAAGGAATTTGATGGTTGAATGGTCTTTGCATTTTCTCTAGGGAATACAAACGAAGTGTTCTCAGTGGATGCAGACACAGGGAATCTAACCATGAACAAAATAGTGACTTCCCCAGGTTCCTTTTTGTTGCAAGTTATGGTAAGTGATGACATTACAGCCAGCCACCCAGCACAGCTGGATTTCCAGGAAGCAGCAGCCTGGCTGTGACAGGAGTCAGTGGCCTCAAATATAACTCGGTTACTCCCATTCTTTGGAAGGGCCCAGTTTGGCCTATGTCCTGCACCAACACACAAGAAAAGCTCCTGCAGCAGTTGAGAGTTTCCCCTCAGGTGTGGGTGGTGACAGCAAAGGAAATTCACCCTGGGCGTGTTCTGTTGGGTTGGGAATTGCAAAGAGCTTTGGATCAAGCCTGTCCTTTCGTGTCTCACCAGGGGCAGAAATCTGGCATCTCTCTCTCTTTCTCTCCAGGCCACACAGGTCAGCAACGTAAGGAAATATTCTGTAGCCACTGTAGAAATCAAGGTCATCAATAAAAGCAATTTTCCACCCTACTTTGAGAAGGGGGTCTACAACGGGACAGTGTTTGTTGGGCTGCCCCAGAGAAGCTTCGTCTACCAAGCTGGAGATCCTTCCACCCCCCTGGTGATAACAGCAATGGATCAGGATTTCCCTGATGTAAGAAACAAAAAGTGCTCTGTGATCTGTCTCACTGCTTCAGGCTTAAAGCAGGATCAGGAAACACAAGGGAGGGGAGGTGTGGAGAGGCAAATACATGTTGTCCTCTGGTGTTCCATGTTATATTCCCTTGGAAATTGCACAGATACCAGAACTACTTATGGTGTGATGTAATGGGGAGAAGCTGCTGGACTCCCCACACACATCACTTGTATAGGTGTGTTTTGCTTGGACAAGTACTAAAGTTTCCAACACAACCTGGATTAAGACTTGGGATTTTTTTTTTTTTTAATATATTTTTGTGATACTTTCTTGGCCTCTGAGCAACAGAGTGAATGCAGTTGAGTTCAGCCTTTCTCACCTGCTCAGCCCAGGTTTATTTATTACTCTATGCACCTGCTCGTACCTCAGGTGTTCTGGACAAATCCTGCCAAGGGGTTGTTGGGAAGATGCATGTGAGGCACAGTGTGGTTTGATCACTCACTCTCTGGTCTTTCAGAAAGTCAACCCCAACATTGAGTACTATCTCAAAAACAGCACTGATTTCATCGCAACCAGGGATGGGCTCATCCTGACCAACAAAGTGCTGGAGTCCCCAGGAACTGTGACCATCCAGGTAGGGCACCTTTCTTGGGCATTTTGTCATGGGTATGGAAAGGAGGAATCCAAATCCTCTTTTTGCTTGTGTCAAAGAAGCAGTCAATAACTTTAGCCTTGTAAGAGGCTGGATGTTCCCTTTGTCCACATGCCTGCCTAAGGCTTGCCTGGTACAGTGCCATGTCCTTGGGGCTGTCTGAACCAGGCTGGCCACAGCACTGCTGGAGCTCCATGGACAGGCACAGAGAGGTGCCAACACCTGCTGCTCCTGCCCCACACTGCCTCAGAACCTGTGCTCTGCCCTGTGCTGGGAGCTGAACACAGAGCAGGGACTTGGTTCAGCTCATCCACTCCCAGGGCAGGGAATATTCAGAGCTCTTGTTCCCCTGTGACCAGGCTGTCCAGCCACAGTGAATAGCTGTGGTGAGGATAGGGACAAGGTACTTTCTCCTCAAAGGGCCCCCCCACAGACCTTGAGAGTGAGCTGGAGATCTGGAAGTCCCTAAGCCATCTCTTTCCCATGTTTCCATAGGCTGTTGGAAAAGATGTGTTGAGCCTGCAGGAGGCAAGCACCATAATTGTGGTGGAGGTCATCCTTGCCACAGGTAGGTTGGTGGGGGGCGTCTCTGTTTTCTGCTCTGGGGAGTCTTTTTTATTTCTGTGGTAAACTGGCCATAATTGGTCACCTGCTGAAGTCTGTGGGTCTGGGCTGAGGCCAATCCCAGCCCCACAGGAGGTTCTGTGGTGGCTTTAAGAGGGAAAACACCCCAACAACATTCTCACAGCATAGTCACCACATGTCTTGAAAAGCCTCCTGAGACTTTAGTGGTGCTGTGTATTGGAGTGTCTTTTCTTCTCATTCCAAAGCTAAAACTGGGATTGGTTCATGCTGGGAAACAACCCAAGATGTATTTTCATGGCAAAGCAGACCTCGGTATATCATTGCTCCCTTTTAGCCAAACACAGAGAAAACTGCAATGTTCTTGCCTGTCTGAGGCAGAGCAGAGAGCAGCTGGCTTGCCCAGGAACCAAGGCTTTTCTACTCAGGTCAGGTCAGGGTCTTTTAGACCAGGATTTTATGATCTTACAGAAGAAACAGCCCATGAGTAATAAGAGAGACATGAGGCTTCATATATAACCCTCTGGCTATTATTTAACCTTGTCAATGTGAAAACACTTCCATACTGCTGAGAAATTACTCTTAAATTGGTCTTATAAGTAAATTAGGATTGAAGTTCATGAAACTCCTTATGCTTTAAGTTCAGATAACCAGTAGCAATGAATTTTTATCTCAGTATAGGCAGACAATGCCCAGACTTCACTGGATTCTACACAATGATGTGGGATTGAAGTTCCATCACTTCACCCTCTGATCATCACCATTGTGGTGTGGGAAAAACAAGTGGGTTCCTGGGTCTAAATCTGGATTCCCTAAAGACAGTGCCACTTCACAGCTAAAAACCACTGAAACCCCATTTAAGGGCACAGCCCAGCATAAAACTAGTCCATGTGTGAGCTCACAGAATTACAAATGCTCCAAGCATGTGCCAACACTTCTGGGCAATTTAGAAATGTTGCTCTTGCTGCTTAAGCCACACAAAGCAGTGGTGCTGTCGAATATGCAGAATTACAGAGCTCTGTGACTCCCTGTGGCCTGTGGCTCCCCAGGAGACAAGATTAAGCAGCAAAAATTCCCTGAGATCCTAAATCCTTGCCAAGGTGTTAATGATAAACTGAGGATGCAATTAAATGCTGAGGGAATACTCCAATTCCATTATAATAAACAGGTCAGCAGGAGAACAAATGCTTGTTTCATTAATCATTAATGACAGTCATTTTCACTGCACAATGAAACTGGAAAAATTAAAGAAGCCCACCTCCACCATCACCAAGCAAAGCTGAGAATGGTACTGTCTTTCCAATCCTGTGTCAATCTCTGTACCTGACACTGACCAGTGGCTGGAAGCAGAAGCTGCCCCTGAGCAGACTGGGCAAAACTGCTTCAGCTACAAAAGGGCAAAAAAGGTTTTCTTGTCCTGGGGACTTTCTACTGCTTTTCCTATTTCCTATTCTGTTTTTTTGTTTCTTATTTTGATGTGCTCGTCTGCATTGGAGGGGATGTTCCAGATGGAAGGAAGCTTTGCATTTTCATACACAGATGTACAATCAAACCTCATTTTTGCATTCTGGTGTAAAAGGGTAAAGTGGGAAAATCAAAGAACTAAATAACTTTACTCCATGTAGCATCTGCTTGCCTGATGCAGTCAGGTATTTATTAACTTAGTTAAATCACGGGGTCAAAGTCACTGTCCTGTCAATGGCTGCTATTTCCACTTCATGGAATTTATTGGAAATTACAATAGTCTGTGTAATTAAAAAAGAAGCCCTCTGCTTTTAGAACAGCAAAAAAAGATTTTCTGTGGAATCAGACACATGACTGTCACATTCTGCAGCACAAGATGCTTCCTTGCCTTTCAAAAATTGATTGGAGCTTCTCCCACAGTGAAGGGTTGTGTTGGAAAATGCTGCCTGCCAGTTTTAGGCTTTGTAACACTGGTTTGTTTTCCTCATAGCTGTAGCCCCCTCTGATAAGATGTACTCTGCTCAGGACATGGCTATCTTAGGGGGCACATTAGCAGCACTGCTGTTAATTGCCTTAG